AAGGCTAGACCGTCCCATTTCACAAGCCTCTCACTTCCGCACTTCTCGTACTTATAGTACGCACCGTACGTAGTACGCGTAGTGCGCGTACTTCAAACGTGCGGTCTCTTAATTGGGACACAGCTTGTGTGTGGGAGGATGTTTTAATAACTCACCTGGGTTAAGGTTTGCATTGTTGGGGGCGTGGCCTCTTTGACTGACAGGTGGGTGGCGACACAGACATACACTTCTCGCCTGAAAAGCTGCTCCGGGTGAGTGACTGATTCGTGTTTTTGATCAGAGCGATTACTCCAGTGAATCAGAGAGCGAGGACGCCTTCCTGCTGATGCCTCCCAGAGATCACCTGGGCCTCAGCGTCTTCTCCATGCTCTGCTGCTTCTGGCCGCTCGGCATCGCCGCCTTCTACCTGTCACACGAGGTGAGGACTCAGCTGCATGTTAACGTTTCTCTGAAATAAGAAATCAAAGAGTTCTCGTGTTTTGAAGCCAGAGGCTTAGCTGCAGTGTGAACCCCGAACACTTTAACCTGCGATGTGCATGAACGAGGGAAACAATAGCGAGTGCACAAACTGAGACTGTAACCCCTCCAAACCGACGGGGGCATTTTAGGTCAAATTACTCTTGAACATGAAGCACTGACTGTGTGTTTCACTGATGTTAGGGCCATTATGGTAATCCCAGGCAGGGATTCAAATCTCGGCAAACAGGAAAAACAAAACGACGGTGAAAACTCTCCACCAACCTTCGTCTTTACGTAGTGTGCCCAGGTTTACTGTAATAACCCTTAAATCTCTGAAAAAGCACAGACCACTGGAATTCCTTCAATTGAGCAAATGGTTCAGATTCCAGATGTTTGTCACAGCAGCAGGTTAGGCTGTAAAGCTGGGGAGAAGAAGTCGAGGCCGGTGCTCTGCAGGTTTAGACGTGTCAGCTGGTTTAAATGACCTCCTCAACATGTCTTCAAGTTCTCCGAGTTCTCCTGGTAAAGAGCTCATCACATGAGTCAGCTGACCCAGGGTGATGTCTAAAACCTGCACCGGCCCTCGAGGTCTTCACCCCTGTGTTAAAGTGTTAAATACATCTGTCCTTAACAAGGTTATTATCGTTAACGAAAACTAGAAGTGAAAAAACATTTTCGTTAACGGAAATAAAAATAAAAACAAAAAAAGGAAAACTAACTAAAACTATAATGAGTGTTCACAAAACTAACTAAAATTAACTGAATTTATAGCAAAAATGTGTTTAGTTTTCATTGATGTGTGCGTGTC